ATTGCAAGAATTTAGTCAAAAGTAGCTGTTTTCCTTTTGATATAGCGACTGTCAAAATTTGCTATCAAAAACGAACTGACGAATTGAGGAAGAAAAATACTGGTTGCTTCTATTTTCCAGGTAAAAAGGGTTTAAACACAATCCATTATTTTCGTCCTATAAAAAGATACGAAGTAATTCATTTAGAAAAAAATTAAAATTGATCAGTGTTATCACATGCAGTAACATTTGTTTAAAAAAAACTTTTTACATTTTTTTTCTCAACTCAAATTACATGAGATAGTAGGTATTGATGAAATAATAACTTAAATTAAATTTACATTTGCATCAATAAAAAATATTTGCGCAAGGTGTAGCACCTGCAAGGATTGAGTTTTCCAGAATTTCGGAGAAAATTACTGAAATCCTAACAATGTAAAAAATTTTAGAGCCATTTAAAATAAAAACCTAAATTAGATAATATACTATCATTAAATTTTCTTAATAAGTGCGCTTATTTTTTGTCATTCATAAAATTTGAATTTAAAACTTTTCTCAAATTGAACATTAATTTTCAACATAAACTTCTTTTTGCAAAAAGCTTTATAAATTTTCTTATTATATTTAATTTTTATTGGTTTCTATTTTTTTCATCAATTAAATTTTAGTATAAAACAATAAAACAAAACAATAAATAAAACAATAAATAAAACGATTCAAAAAAGAAAACAAAGCAGACATCTTTCAAATTAAAAATGAAATCAATATTGTAATCTTTTGTACAATACAAGGAAATAAAAATAACCTCTGAACATTTTACACATCAAAAATCATTTATGTCATTTTTTCCAATATGAATTTTATCTAGGGCTGTAGATACAACGTTGATAGAAGCTTTCGAGGGGTCATAATCTTGAGGTGACTCATGATTCAGACCTATTTTTATTGCTTAATATTTGAGTATATAGGCCTATAGTCATCTTGGCTATTTTCTCCATCGAAGCATCATGCTGAAAAAAATTGTTATTGGAATTGAAGCGAAAACGCAATCGCATTTTGCACCATTGATTAGTGAGAAGCACCCAGGAATGTTTGATTATTTCATCGTGTTGATCCTTATATGATCATTTCGAAAAATTTATGGGCATCTTGATCACCTCAAGATTTGTCATAGACCTCTTCCATTAAATGTTTTGCTGAGGTGAACAAATGTCACGTCGAGTCTTTTGTTCTCTTTCTTACACTTTTGTTACAATTGTCTGGGAACGAATATCTCTGATAATGACACACTCTCATTAGCTTTGAAATTACACTGTATTTCAGATAGTTTTTCTGCGATAGAGAATACCGCTGTTCAAAATTATTCTTTCCATGATTTTTCCATCAATGGGGAAAAGAGTTATGCCTCTGACCTTTCCCTTTTTCATAATTCCTACACATCAAAGCTTTTTATTGTGCCTAACATTAATGCAACCAGTGGTAGTAAAAATACAACAATTATAAAGTATAAACTTCTTTATCGAACGTATAAGCTCCATTATCAGAAACAACCGATAATAGAGCTTATACTTTCGTTTTCAGCAAACCTGTTTTGTTCTATCAAGAGAATCTTAGGAATTCTTCAGAGGATTTCAGAGCGCCAAAGCGTTTCAGGAAAGGGATCTAGGGATGATTTACAAATCTAGTGAGTATTCAAAAAAGATTATCTGGAGTCCATTAGATACATTGCACTAGGCATTATTCAAGTGTGACAGACATGTAATACTTCTCTGATATTTTAAGTGATGGTCAATGAGGTGACAGTCTTGGATCGAGATGCATTCACGGTTCTCTGATAATTTTTGTAATGGTGTGCTGCTGCTCTGCACAAAACTCTTGCAGAAGGTGATCATTGTCATCTCAGTATCCAATTCCATTGTTTTCTAGTAGTCCTTGCAATCATCAGAGTTGTACTCTGGGGTTGAAATCACCAAGAAAGTTAACAACTACAGCATATTTGTGAGTGTGATGGCGAAGGTCCCTGTAGAATTTGTTTTTTTTTTTTTTTTTTTTTTTCTGAAGGTTCAGCTTAAAGAGTTGGAACGCATGAACTGAAAAGAATAGCATGTTATTTTGCAGTAACAGATATAGAGAGATCAGGATGACCCGTTCGGAAATTAACAAGTTTGTAGATGATTGAATTCTTATTCATGATAGCCAACTTCTGAAAAATGTTTCTGGGTGAAAAATCAGTAGTATAGCTTGCACTTTGTTCCTTAAAGTTGCCTTTTTCATGAAAACAAGTTCACGGACAGCATAACAGCAGCATCGATGTTAAGTTGTGATTAATGAACACTGACAGTGATGTGAATTTTCACAAAGTCTTTTGTACTTTTCTTCCGACCAATGCTGTTTGTCGCAATGAACTGTAATTGTTGTTGTTGAACAATGCTGAGGACGCGCACAGTGTACAGTACCAAGCAAGGTTGTAATGTTTTAACATGCAAATGTTAGTCTGAACACACCTACTGCCTCTTCATTTTTGTTCAACTATGTCATCCGTTAACTATAAGCATAGAATGGAGACGAGCTTTGATTAGATTACTTTCCCGACGCCTCTCCATTTGGAGCAAGTGGTGCTGTCGTAGAAAAAAGCTCATCTTCATTGTTTCCGAACATGATTTTTTCAGGGAAATCCTTCTAATTTTATTTCGTACTGCTGTAACTCTACTGACAGTAGTCTTTATTGGTTCTCGACAGTAGCCTTCATTAGTTCTCGACAGTAGCCTTTATTAGTTCTCGACAGTAGCCTTTATTAGTTCTCGACAGTAGCCTTTATTAGTTCTCGACAGTAGCCTTTATTAGTTCTCGACAGTAGCCTTTATTAGTTCTCGACAGTAGCCTTTATTGGTTCTCGACAGTAGCCTTTATTAGTTCTTATACCAGATTGTACAATATTGCTCCTATACAATAAATAATACGAATAAAGGAAACAACGCAGAGCAAACGCTAAAGAATCTAACAGTCCGGTCTGTTGTTGAACTTGTAAAACTGTACAGCACTTTAATTTGAATGTGTCGAGTGTGTCTTCACTCTGTCACTCTCTCCAAATCCTTCAATGATTTCCAACATATCTTCCTTGTTTACATATAGATCGAAACCATATACTGTAAATGTTAACCTTTTCGGCTTGTTGATCCTTTAAAAAACTATGTTCTTACTATTTGACATTCCTGTATTTAGGCTTCGCCAATAAAACTATCATAGTGAGATAGCAGTCTCCTCCGTGGCCTACATGAAGACTTCCAATGTACTTTTTCACTTTCGTTCCTCGCTCCTTGGCACAAATGTGAATAAATCATTCAAGTCGTAATGACATTTATAATTGTCCTCAAGTCTTACGTGTATAATTGTCCTCAAGTCTTACGTGCAATAAGAATATCATTTATAATTGTCCTCAAGTCTTACGTGTATAATTGTCCTCAAGTCTTACGTGCAATAAGAACGAGTTCCATTTTCTTGAATTTTGAGTTAGGGTTGTCCTTCTAACATGATTGGTTAGGTTAGCAAGCCCATCCTTTCCATGTGCATATTTGTCTACTTGATCTATCTGGTATGCGAAATCACCACTACTAATCGTGACCTTACAAAGATACGTAAGATTCTCATCCAAAATAAGATGGTGTCCACAAGAAAGTTATGCAGATAGGTAGGATACACGAAATTGAAATCAAAAAATTAAGTATCCAAATTAAGTCAAAGTAAAAAATCAAATATAAATTGTGAAATTTCAAGAATCACAGAAAAGATGTTTATAAAATTTTATGACGGCAAATGATTCCATGCAATTTTTTGGGAAAAAATGAATCAAATATCAATATGTATATGAATATTTAATACGGATTTGTTTTGACTCGTTGCTTTTGCAGATTTCTGTCAAACAATTTTTACTATTAATTTCAATACTGATTCAATATTATTGTGATGAAATCGAAATTGTATAACTTCTGTCTGAGATTAAAATCTTTATGCTTAAATCATACAACGATTCTTTGGAAAGAAACAGAAAGAAGAGGCTCCCAAAATGAAGTTTTTCGATTGAAATTCTCGAGTGAACTAGGAAATGAAATAAATTTCTCGAGGAAAATAAAACACCAATATATGAAGGAAATGACCAATCCAACACTCAAAAAAAATGAAATAAAAGGAAAAAAAAAAATTCCGTGAAGTGCATAGATGTACTGAAAATGCTACTTGAACGAACATTAAGATTGTATGTAATACAAAATATAAAAGATATGCGATATAAAAAAACTATATCAGTGATTACATGTATAATAAATGACTGTGAACACTGTCACAAGCCAGATGTTTGAAAATTAGTCAAACAAAATTTATTTTGAAATTACTTTTGGATCCAATTACATAAGTGAGAAGAGTGCATGAAGCAAGTTCAGAAAGTTTAATTTTAAATTTAATATTAGTATTTTAGAGAAATGAATCTTTTTTCTTTGGAAAATTATAAAATTAAGGTAAGCAAAATGTCCACTTAAATTGTCGATGCCTCGAATGCTTGTTTTACTTGAATATTTAAATAAATGTTTAATTCTGCTACACATATTTCCATTCAACTTTAAAAAGGAAGATTTTTAATTAATTTTTGAACAGCCTACGATTTAAAACAAAAAATTTTTTTAAAAAAAAAAAAGGACGAACGCTTTATCACAGTACTGACAATGTTATGAAGTGATAAACATTAGACTGACAAACGAAAATTTCCCGTTTGAAATAACTAGTATTTGAGGAGCAAATTGTTAAATTAAACAGATCAGAGCTATAGTTATGAATGAGAAGTTGCACAATGTTATCACGCAACAAGGAACAATAGATTTTTTTTTTTTTCTTAGATGGCGTAGTTTTGTTTCATTGTTTTTGAGGCTTTTATAAAGTACTTAAACCCCTTTTGAAAATGTATTCCATCCTTTTAAACTTCCCAAAAGTGATACAGGCAATCCTCATTTGCGTATTTCTGTTGAATCGAAATGCTAATTAAAATCGCGGTATGCTCTTTATTTCCAACCTTCTGAAATTATTTAATTAATATAGGCTTTAGTGATGTTTTTTTAAATATTTAAATACTGTTCTGCTCTTACATGTATTCTGCTTTTGTTGTAATAAGTTCAAAATATAAAAGATAGTCATTATATATTTTTTTAAAATGTACAATAGCTTAGTTCCTATTTCAATTTCTCTTTTTTTTTTTTTTTTTTTTTTGTAAGGATAATCTTAAAGATCATCCAATAGATTTAGTTTTTAATGAAAAATTTCTGTTAGTACTGGATGATCGGATTATAGTAACTTTGTTCATTGATAAAAATTTTCGGTAACTTCAAAAATCATTATGTTCTAATGAATTTAGTAAGTTGTATATGCAATTCAGATTTTACTGATGACATTCGAACAAAGCCTACCACAGGTCGCTGGTCAATGTTGCCTAGGACAGAATGTGCAGTCATCATTATCATCGTTCTTCCCATTTTTCTCAGATTACTCATGGTTGTTACCACAACCTTCATTTTCCGGCGTTATTCATCCCGATCAAAAAGAAAGCGAAGGATGTTAGGTTGAAGCGGATGGTATGCTGGGGGTCTAATATTGATACATGTAATCGAAATTTTAAAGTTCTTACGAATGATAACTCATGAGTAATGTGTGTTTGACATGATTAAACTATTGTTTCATTTTAATTTAAAACAGTAATAAACTACTCTTGCTTTTGTTAAGATAAAAACTTTCGAAACCATTCGACGGTAATATTTCCCGACCATTATTCAATTATTCAAAATTCGACAAGATTATTAGTTAAGGGGCGAAATATAAGTTTCCCGGCGATTGTTATTCAATAAGATAAAAATAACGGCTAAAATGATCAGCTCGTTATTTATCGATTATAGTTAAATTCTTTTTCGTTTTCGTTAATCCGATTCGCTTGAATGCCATCAATATGAAAGTAATACCTAACAAATGCACTAATCAACACTATTCCTGAAGAGCATTTTTTGTGATATTTCCCAGTTGGAAGTTTTCATTCCACAGTACCTTTTACTTATTACTTTACTGAAATGATCTCTACCTTTATTAATCTATAATGAACATATATCGTCGTCGCATTACCATTATTGTATTAAGGAAACGAAACTATTATGTCGAGAAAAGGGAGCAGGATTTATGAACAGTTTAGAAAATCTATCTGCAATTTCATAAAGTTTTAAAAATCAATTCACTACAAATCAATCAAGTGGATATAAGCAAGAGGATTCATTAAACAACTAACAATTTCTTTAAAAAACTGATAAAATATTTGAATTTGTAGACTTCAAAATTTGCCGACTAGTGCCAGGTACAAATTCAACTGTTGGATGTTAGTGGTATTTCGGCTCCACAACAATTTCAAACCATTATGAGAAACTGCAGGATAAAAATTCTCATAATCACGGTCTGTGGTAATCTAGAATAACAACAATGAGAATATCAGAGGACCAAACTGAATAATTGATTAAAATATAACCAATAAAAGTTGATTTCCAGATTTCTCGAAATTTAAATATGCCAGGAAAATTTATGTTTAATTTTAATATTTAACTCCCATAAAAATTTTTACTGCAAGTCATGCCTGCTCCAATTCGCTTCCATCGATGTTAACAGCAAAAATGTTAAATGCGTCATTCTCTAAAATGCCACTCGAGGCAAACAAAATACGTTTATTGTTTAGAAATGTGGGCCACAAATTTGTTCCATTTTTCGTCAGCTGCCTCAAGCCACTTCCATCACTATGCATGAGAAATATTTGAGTATCAGCCAGTTCAACAGCATTATATCTGTAAAGCTATACAAAATGAAATTTTTAAGCAAAAAAGGAGACTAGTTTAATAATAATAAAAATAATAATAATAAAAACATGTTTTACGCTGTCAATTTTTAGAGAACATAAGAGAATGAGAATGAAACTAACCGCCGCAATAGCCAACCATACTTGAATAGTTGACTAGGTGATGTTGGACGTGAAGCATGAAAAACAATGAATCGTCCATCAGAACTTAATTTCGCACCACCTTCGTAACCAATAGTCTTTGTTATCTACAAAAAGGAACAAGAAACACCGTAGCGATAATGCTGTTATTGAGTATACTTTTTTCTCTTTCATTTATCATTCGTTCATGACTGTCCTAAGAGCTTCAAATTAGCAATAATAATATTTTCAGATAATATCGTAACGCAGTTTTGATTGAAATGTAAGAAGTGAATCGTATAAAATCAACCCATCATTTGATAAGGAAACCAAAAATTAAGTATCAATAAAAGTGAGTATCAGCAGGCATCCAGATATAATCATTTATAATTACTTGTGTTCCCTATTTTCTAAGTAGGTAGTTATCTAAGTAGTTAAAACTAAAATCAATACTTGCTTAGCATTTTTTCCATCGATATCCATTATCCACAAATTAGGATCACCATTCCTCCTTGAAGTAAAGATGATATGTTTTCCATCTGAGGATATACTTGCTTCCCCATCATAACCTAAAATTATAACTTAAACAATTATTTATATATGATTTATCTATGGAATCCATCCCTGTTACTTATATAACTCAGTAAAGACATTAAAAAATATTAATAACACTTATCAGTAACTATGAAAATACTGAATTTAGGTATTGTGGATGCTGCATGTGAAATAATAACAATGTAATTCAATAAATGCAAGATAACCTGATGTATTTGTTAGACGTCTAATAAAATTACCATACTTGTTTACCTTGATAAGTTCAAAATCCGGATACAATTCCAAAACATGAGATCGCTTACCTGAAAAGATATGGGTAGTATCTATCACATACTTGTTAATAGTAAGGAAAGATAACTAAGCAATGATAGAATATTTCAAACATGTCAGGATGTATAAATTAAAGAAATAAAATATGAATGGGACAATTAAAGAATAAATAATGCAGTACAGCAGATAGCAAGCAAAGCAATTTTAGTGTTGAGAAATATAAGAATTTAGAAAATTTACAGATCTCTTTTATCCATGATTTTCTTGCAGTGGCACATACTCGTCGTGGACAACTGTTTAAGATGGAGCGATTAGCCGTAAGAATATTACTAGCATATATTATGATATTATCATCAGATATATATGATGGTGAACGGGTAATACCAATACCTAAACAATTCATTGTTTTTTCCTGTTTTTTTTAATGAGTGCTAAAATCAATAGTAAAGCTACTAGCATCAAAATGAAGCACCAACATTGGTCGAAAACATCCCAAAATTTAATAATTACCTGTGCTTAAACGTCTGATCCTTCGTGATGAACTTGAAAAGTCTAAATCGAATATCTAAATATAATTACTTAATGAATTATGATATACCATTATAATAAATATAAAATATCAAATTAAAATCACATTTAACGAACTTGTTCACATGCTGCATCGTAAAGATGAGTACCATATCCTTCATAAATTACTCTTTTATCATCGAAACTATAAAATAAGAAATGATTTCAGCAGTAATTGAAACGCATATAGCTTCGGCTAAAATTTTCTCATGATCAATATCATTGCCAACAATTATGAACCGCTGTTTGTTACTAATCAGTACCAAAGATACTGATACCTTACCATAAATGTAATTTAAATTATAAGTTGTCATATTATTAAAATATGTGAAACAATAAATAATTTAATTATAGTTAGTTTAACCAGATATTAAATTAAAACTAGAATGCTCGACACTGATTGATTTATATGTGAATAAAAATTTACCTGAAAGAACCTGCCATGTTAATGTCATCATTAGTGAGCTGTTCAATCTTCTTCGGATAATTTTTTTTCATCATAATACTTAGCAAATTAGAACTAGTCAAATTTTCTTCCTAAAAAAAAGATATTAACAGAAAACATATTAAAACATTTACTCCATCAATATATATACATAGATTTAAAATTACACCTTCATTTCATTTGCAATATTCATTGTGCCATTATCAAGCCAGTCAGCGATGAAAAGATTTAGTTCACTTCGACTACGTCCATTTCGACTACTGCTCCAAACCAAGCGTCGACCAGTTCGATCAAACATCGGAAAAGCATCAAATCCACCTTCATTGAAAGTTATCTGTCATAAAGTCGTCTTTTTTTTTAAAAAATCAACACTTTTCATTGAAATATATACCAAAAATACTAAGCATAATTTGTTAATTCTTTTAAAAGGCAAAATTTTTAAAGACAGGTTTTCATGAATGATAAAATAATTGATGTAATCAGATAATAATATCAGCAAATGTTTTGTCATGAATTCTCGGATATATCTTTTCTTTTTCTTAGTAATACAACAAACTATTAATAGTGCAAAAATTTTTACCCGTTCAACATCACCACCTGCTTCATCAATCATGTACAAATTAAATGCCCCAAAATGGCCACCAGTTTCATTAAAATTTGAACTGAAGATAATGTGACGATTATCCGGCATATAAAATGGAGCCCAATTAGAACCACCGAGAGATGTAACCTTTTTTAAACCACTACCATCAACATTAATTGTATAAAGTTCCATTTCAAGTGGTGACACTAAATTATAGCTGAAAAAGTTGTAGAATTAGTTTGAAAATAAATAAATATAATGAAATCATATGGTAATAAATATAACACAATTATATGCAATGAAATGAAATAAACAATTAAAAAATTTGAACAAAACATAATAAATTCTCAAAAAGAAATTTAATGCTTAATCTTGTCTGGCATTTAATTACAATGCCATTCACTAAAACATGAAATATACTGCAGAATATTAGAATATATTTATTATTCTAATTTAATGATAGCGGGAAGTACAATATACGAGAGCAAATCTTTGTATGCTAAGATAGATATTAAGATAGATAGCAAGAAGTTCAACATACGAGAGTAAATCTTTGTATGTTTGAATTCCTTCAGTAGTATTCGGTCTTGATGCACGAAAAACAATTTTAGATCCATCCGGACTGAAAAATGGACCGCCATCATAACCAAGTTCATCTGTTAACTGAAACAAATACATGTTACAATTTATAGCATACTATTGTGAATATTATAATAATTCAGAAGAAGTTGAATGAAATTTACTTTCTCAGCAAACAATAAATACATATAGAATGGGGAAAAAAAAATATCCATAATTAATCTATCAATTTATCTGTTCAACAAAGTGAAGCTGTATTTTATTGTCATAAAGCCATAACAAAATAACAAAAGAATATTAAACCTGTTCTGGTTCCGTTCCATCCGAATTCATGATCCAGATTTCTGGGTCACCACTTCGTAATGATGTAAATACAATTTTTCGACCATCCGGAGAGACAGCTCCTTCAGCATCATATCCTGCCGTATTAGTCAAACGAGTTATGACTGTACCAAACTCATTCACCTATAATTTGCTAACAGTTCGGATTTCAAAAGAAAGAAAACTTAATAACTGATAAAAATTTTGCTTATCTTCATAATATAAATTTTTATAAAAATAGTAATAGGGAATATGAAATGAAAAATGAAAATTTTTTTTACTTATATTGAAAATTTCAGAAAGAACCTTAAAAATATCATATTCTGGAAATAGATCCCATGTGTAACTCGTATTACCTATAAGAAGAAGTCTTATGTTTTATTATCTTAGCAAATTTCAATTAAGCATGCCATGCTAAAAGCAAAGCATTTATTACTTCTGTATTAATTTTTTAAAAAAAAAGAACGAGAAAAGAATCTATTTGGACAAAACAGTAAATTTGAGAGTTTCTAACTTAAATGATTAATTTTGTCTTTTTCTTATTTTTTTTTTTTTAAATTCTTCAGTTTCATATTTTAACTCCGTCATGCGAATTTATTGCTCAGACTAATAAAATTAATGTTACGAAGTGTATAAACAAAACTTAAGTGGGCAAGTTAAACATCAAAATATCAAAATAAAGAATTAAACATTAGTTGTGCATTTTCAAAATTCACTCTTTTCATAAACAAATGATAAGCATGAAGATAACCACAAAGAAATATTTATAAAATTTCATAGTGCAAAATGCTAGAGTATAAAATTTTGCAGAAAAATAAGTGTCATAAATATCATTACTTACACAAATGTTTTAAATGTGGGTCTGTTTTAGCTCGTTGTGTTTGACATGTTTTTGTCGGACAACTTTCAATATTAACTGATGGAGTGAAATTTGCATGCTGAAAAGTACCCGCATAGATCATGTGACGATTGTCTGGATAAAAATAAGAACAAGTGCAGGCTCCAATACCTGAAATGAAGTTTTTCAGCTGAAATTTTCCAATGAATTAGAAAGTGGAACAAATTTTGCTAGACAAATATTAGGATATAATTACAAACAAGAAAAAAACAAAACAAGATTTAAATTGATATTGAGAAATTGAAATATTTATGATACAAGAAAGAAAAAAAAAAGTGAGGCCATAAATATAACAAAACATATTACTTGCATATTGAAGTTATACGAATGATTATATGTAATATAAAAGATTACATTAGTGTATACAGAAGTGAATTTTTTTTTTAAAAAAAATTAGTCATTTAAAAATATCAAGTCTTACCTGAGCTAATTCTTTGTGGAATTTGTTTCTCCGGTGGAGCAGTTAAGTCAAGCTTGTAAATCTGCAACACAGTTTTTAACAATTTTTAAATATCAATTTCAAAATATTGACAAGAAGTTAAATATGGAAACAAGCACTGGAATTGGAAAGAAAAATGATTTAAGGTAGAAAATTCCATAGTAGGAAATTATGCGATTATTCTCCGAAATACATAAGTTGGTTCACACTGGAATTAAAACTCAATTTAAAATGAAATGAAATACTTGATCACAAGATGTACCATATTCCGATATGCCAGCTGCTTGAAATGTTAGCCAATTTCCATCAAAACTTAAAATATCTATGTAATGAATGATACAATTAAATTTTTAGAAGAAACATAAATAAGAGAGGAAACGGAAACGATTTCACGAATTTTAACATAATTATTTTTTAATCAGATTATATTATATTTATATTAGTTATTTAAACTTCGGAATTTGTTATTTTTATAGGATACATAACAAGCAGAAAACATGTGTAACGATGAAATTTTTCTTTCTCAAATAAAAATTAAAAAAAATTTTTGGATTAAGTTAACCTGAAATATCCTTCAGCATTTTGCCCTCCAAATGTTAGCTGACGAATACTGCTAAGATGACGTTCAGCCGAAAAATGAAGCTCCGCAAATATGACGGTCTCGGCAAACAGAAAAAAGAAAATGTTGTATAAATACATGGCATAGGATTCTGGAACTAAATTAAATTAAAATCTTGGAATTAAATACTTGATGGAATTTCACTTTTGATGGCTTCAAAAAAAAAAAAAAACTTCTCGCTGGGAAATTATAAAACTGAAAAATTAAAACCTTCTAGTTCGTTGATTTTCTATACAAGACGCACAGAACAAAGATCCTTAACCCAAATATTCGGAGAATTCAGTTCACGATTTTAATAGTAAGAACATTAGCAAAGAATTTTCATGATGTTATCAGTCCAGAATGACATTAAATAGAGATAATAACTGCTTAAAGTATTTGATAATATTGCAGTTAAAAATAGATGCTGTACTAAAGAAGTCTTTTAAGTAAATAAATGAACAGAACTATGCGGGTGAAGAATAAATAAGACCAATTTAATCAAATATTTTCATATTTCTACTCACATATCAAATATTACTACAACATCCTCCCTGCAGTGTCATTCCCGCTAAAAAGTTCTAAATTAAGCTGTTCTAAATCTTAACCATAAAACTGAAAGCAGAATAACTGTTATCGATGCCTCGAATACTTGTTTTTACTTGAATATTTAAACAGACAGAAATTAATTAATTTTGCTACATACATTCAATTCAATAAAAGAAGAAAATTTCTCATAATTTTTGAACAGTCCAAAATGTAAAACAAATATGCGGAATGAAAGCGAACATTTTATCACAGTACAATGTCGTGAAGTAAAAAACATTAAACAGATAAAAGAATGCAAACAATAAGGTGCTCAATTACTGTTCGATTTAAAAATTTTCATAAAAACAATACAGAACCAATCCGCAACAAATTGGCCTATTGTATTTATACAACACCTAACAATAATTTTTTCTTCCACTACTTTATATTTGGCATTGTGAACAATTTCATAGGCTGAGGACTGGTGACATACTACCGAAAAAGATCTAAAATAGTAGGATAATGGGAAAAAAGTATAAGGAAATTGAACCGTCGCTTATTTTCGAAGATCCTAGCCAAGAAGGAAAATTTATCAATGCCTCTTCGCATAATCTTATAAAAAAGCTGATATATTTCAACATGTTTATCAGAACGGTTTTTTTATATTTGATAAATTGATATCAGCAAGCTTGAAATCTTTGATATGTTGCGATATATTCATGCTTTTTACAGCACTAACAGCACGAGCTGGAGCTGCTGCAATTCCAGCCTATAAAGACATTCATGAAATCCACAATGATTTCGTTAAAAGTAAAGAATATTTAATAAGTAATAAAAATGACTGCTTCTGAAATTCTTTAAAAAATAAAAGGATTTACTATTCATATTTTTGAATATAGAAAATATAGATATCCGCCCCAAATTTTAAACAAAGAATATAAAAAAAAAGAGTATTAACCTCTTCTTTTTCTATCTTCTCCTGTTCCTGTATCCGTAAAAGAATTTCGGTCATATTTGTTTCCAGCACCATTCCTCCCATAACTAGTTCATCGAGTATGTGGTGCACCTATGAACAAGTTAAAGTAGAATTAAACAATACAATAAATAAAATTATTAAGATGTATAAAATTTGATAATTCAATAATTTTACTACATCAGGCCAACAAAAATTTTGATGAAAACGTACTTTATCGACGTGAAAGATTAGGTCCAGCTCACAAACATTCTCGAAACATCGATCCAATGTTTCAACAAATACCTGATAGGAATACATATTAACGTTTGACAAATCATTAATCACAATACATGTAGAAGTTTCTTCCTTCATATTATTAATTTATATCTATGCATCCTTTAATTCTCAGTTTCAATCTGGAAAAAGATAAGCAATTAGTCAATAGTCTAGAAGGAATCATGACATTACTGCTCTTTAAATATCAGATAAAGTAAGGAACTCTTATTAATAGTTTAAAAAATATCACAACGTTTATGTAACATTAATTCCTTCCACTAATTAAATCAAAGTGAACCATGCTAGTTTTTGATATCTATACGACAAAGTTACCTGTATAAGATCAAGAATGCCAAGTTCGCTTTCCGATGAATCAACACAAAATACAAAATAAAGTGTTGCATAATGTCGATATATCAACTTATAATCAGATCCACCAATTAATGAGCCACCTTCCAAGAAATTGCAAACATTATCATCTCGTTTCGAAACCAACTGGAATGTTTCGCGTATAATATGTTGTTGTTCTTCTTCACCCTACAAATTTCAATTCATTTACAAAATTTTACTCAAATGACTATTAACTGTACTTTCTCATACTAATGAATTATTAATACAAAAATTAATGCAACTGTAACTTACTTTTATTTATAGAAGATCATGCAACTATAACTTACTTTTATTTAAAGAGTTTACTTTTATTTAGATCAGAATTTTATTGAAACTTCTCCCTGTGGAATGACATAATTTAGTGACTGTGCATGAAGTGTAACATTCAGCAGTCTTGAAGTTCTAAAGTTCTGTTAAATTTTCGACGAAATATTACTATATTTTTCATGTTCTAACTAGTTGATAAATATACATTTTTAATTGCTGCAGTTCATCGACTTCGCCAGAATATCGCTAATATATCTCCGATTAACTAATATTCGTTCTTGCATTTAAGCAAATATCAAGATGAAAAAAAATCTAATTTTAACAAACATTACTAATATATAACTTGTATCTTAGGTATTTAATAATTCACTGGAATTTATGTTCCATTTAAGACTTTTTCTTTTAACTTACATAATGAACATAAAATTTCAACAAACGTGGTTTTCCATGATTATTGAATACCAAAATTGCTTTAATCATACTTCTGAACGGGTATTTTTTTCTCTCACCGATTTTCCATTTTATTCATTCATCGCTCATTCTTTCTCTTAAAAAAAGGGGAAAAAAATAAGTAATATTGACTTCATCAAATTTTAACCTCAACATTTCAAAAATTCAGTCCCAACAATTAGTTTTAATAATCTAATTAACTATAAATAAGGTATACGCTAACGACAAACGAAAGAGTAATGCACAAGTACCAACGAAAAGCGGAAATGATTCCCCATCAAATATTTGACTTATTCTGTTAATAGTTGGCATATGCTTTTGTGATCAATATTTTGGGTATGTAATTGCGAAGGCCTGGAGGTAGGTGTGTTTGCGTGCATTTGGACATAGGGAATTAGATTTGTGACTTATAGCGTACGTACGTGGCAACACTTATCCTTTTAGTTTCTAACTTTTAACGCTTCGATCTAATCGATTGTAAGTTATTCATAAAATGTAAAAGAAAAGTGGAAGGAAAGGAATATAGGATCGATCATATGTAATTAATTTCCATCTTAGATGATTGTAAGCAAATGTATTTACAAATGTAAGATGTTTTCTTTCTTTTTTTTTTTCAGCATTTCTATTTCACATCTTGTGATGGCGGCACATAAAACATTCATTATTAAGCGTAAATTGGCTAAAAAGGCGAAGCAAAATAGGCAAGTGTACCATTTCCAATTGACGAGTTTGCTTGATTGAGCTGTTTTTGTTATTAAATTAGTTTCTAATTGATTTTGTAGACTTCATTGTTGGTACCAATCAGTTTTAATTACCTATCTTTTCCCTCTCATTGTTGTCGCTCGTAAAATGATTCAGTTTTGGTTTTTTATTTTCCTGGTTTTTTCTAGTGAGAAATGTGCTTGAATTATATGGCACATATTTTTCTTTTTTCCGCTTCTTAGAACAAGTTCTATTTTAACTAATCTCGGCATGTTTTTAGACCGTTGCCTCAATGGGCTCGCATGAAAACAGGAAGTAAGATTCGTTACAATGCGAAAAGAAGACACTGGCGCCGAACAAAGCTGAAGTTGTAAAAACTGTAGCTTCCTTGCTTTACTGCTGGAGAATTCCACGTTGATATTGTTTTTTTGTCAAGAAATAAATTCTTTATTTGTTGTTTCGCCTTACTAGCCAATGCTTATTGCTGGAAGATTATTTAAACTATTAAAGTAAAAAAAAACCGGTATAGATTTGAAGAGGCACATCAGCATTTACATCGGCTAGTGCTAAATCATGTAAATTCCATAATATTAAGTACCAGTCAATCATCTTAATTGCATTTATGGGCCATGTCGACTAGGATTGTGAGTTTCGCCCCTAAAGACACTGCATCACAAACATAGGACAGAGATGTAGGAATATGTAGATGATTGGTATGGATTAGATTTTTCTGATTAAACAGAAATTAACGACAGTTATACCTACTACCCTCAGGAAATAAGTATTGCACATGCCAGCGTTATTTGAATTTCGTTTTGCTGTCTTGCGTGTATACTTCGTCTAATTCAAAAATATTTTAACAGACATATATCTCTGTATTTCTCGATCTCCACTACACATCACATTAAATATGAGTGAAACGCTCCGCATGATTTCCCTGTACAGCATTATGCTTTAGTAACGAACTCCACTACTTCCATGCAAAACGAGGTCAACAAGATTTACATGCGAGGTCAACAAGATTTACATGCGTCACTCCACGTGTGTGGGAGCATATACGCTTTTTAGTATATATACTTTCATACTCTCAAGTAAGAAAAAAACACGTGGAAAAAAGACTACCGAAGAGAACTGTAGAAAAGTTTTTTGATGTATTTTTATTTCTCCACTGAAAATGTTAGATGAAAAATACACATTATAAAATTAACAAAGATAAAAACTGGAAAATCAGCAAATATGAAGTTTGATAAGAGCAGAATCAATGAAAGTCGAAATTTAGTTTACGACCAAAATCATTAATTTTCTGAATTCCAGTAACTTCCGGTACTAACTCCAATAATTCCGATTCATAAGAAGGAAATTTAACAGGACATAAGGACAAACTGTCAGTGAGATCTCATGAGTGAACCTAAATTGTTTCATAATTTAATCAGTCAATCAAATTGCAGCTATCGAAAGGAATCAAAGATGAGTATACTTATTCCAAAAAAAAAAAAAAAAAAATTCCGAAGTCTTCTCCATAGCAAGGCAAAAAATAATTCACGAAAATTTCGCTTGCGAAAAGTCCATCTCCGGATGCTGTTCCATAAATCTGGAATTAAGACATTAAAAAACCACCTCTGGATGCTGAGAACTTTGGAAAATATGTCTAGAAAGATATTCCACTAAAACAAACTGATCAAAAATTGAAATTATGATCTGATAATTTATCTTCCAGACTAAATACTAGTATACACTGAAAGCATGTAAATGCTTTAAAAAACCAACGTTTTCAACAAATCTCGTTTCTTCTTCTCTTCCGATGTTGGTAGTCCCAATTCTTTCTGCCTCTGATCGTACATCATCTGAAATTAAAAAAAAAAAAGAATTTCTCTGTGAATAAAAAGGATCTTAATTTCTTCAAAGATCCTCTCAAATTACCTTTTCAACCATTTGTCTTGTTTCACCATCTAAATCAGAAAGCTTCGAGTTCTCAGGTTGCACCTTTTTGGTGTTTATTTCCGGATCCGTTGTCATCAACCGATTCCACCATTCCATACCATTCATCTAAAATTTTTAGGTTTCTTGACCTGATGATTTTTAATCCAGAAAAAAGCCGTTATTTTATCTCCCGTGCCTATGCAAAAAAAAAAAAAAAATCATAATTTAAATACCCACATATTTACACTATGATTTTAGACAACTGAGTATTCATGCACAATGTTTCAGTACAAAAACAATTAGAAAAAACTGACCTTTTCCAAAGTAAGAACAATAGTCTTACGGTCTTCTAGAACCCACGTTGCGCTTTCAACCTTTACAGCTGCACGTAGAGAACCATTTATTATTGGCTCATGCCCCTAAAAAAGAAATATCCCAGAATATATCAGCCAAAATAACGACTGCAAAAAATGATCATTATTTCATCTACTTATTTCCATATTGCACGGAATGCAATATATATAGTATCATAAATGTTAGGGATACAAAAATGTAACTTTCAACAAAAAGACTGACTTTCAGACCAATCTTCAGCTTTTCTTTACCGAATTCTACAATTACATCCTTTGCTTTCAACGGAAAACCAACTTTGAGTGGCACTCGAACCTATAAACGAAGTCAAATACTTATGAAGTTTTCTTTCTTTTCTTAATTTTCTCTACTGAATATATTACATTCATCTCAGTCAATGCTATAAAAAAAAAAACGAAAATTTCCTACCATCCAACAATACATGTAATATTATAATAACTCATAATGTTTAAATAAATAACTATCAAATCAAAAATGAAATCAAACGTGATATATATGTAGTGTTAAAAAATACACATAGATGATTAGATATAGATATATACCTCGATTTCACTTAATGTTTGGGTCCACTGATATTTCTCCAAATTACAACCGTTACCAGCATTTGGCTTTAATTTTCCTTTGTCGTCTGGATCTTCCTCTTCTTCCTCACCACTTTCTTTATTCTTCTCTTTGCCATTATCTATAATATTTATCCATTTTATGTAATTAAGTGTTTGACAAATAAGAATAATATTCTGCTTTAACTCTATAAAGCTAGGAAAAAAAATTCGTGCAAATCTATCAGCAACCTGCAGCAACTGATGGAATTTTTACGTTACCATTCTTCATCTTCTCAAGTTCTGCAGCCTCTTCATCAGTGATTTCACGAATTCGTGGTTCATTCATTTCGGCTTCCTTTAAAAAATGAAAAAAAAAAATAAAAAAAAAAATAACAACAAAATTTATTCAATTATTTCTACAGTGTTTTTGGGAATGCAGTTCTCTGATGCATACAGTTATGCAAAGTTCTTTCAAACAAAATCAAAGGTCTTAACATCTAAAATAACTCACTTGAAACATAAAAAGGAATAAAACGACTTTCACTTATATCTTATTATTTATCCTATTTAGAAAACAAATCCCAAACTGAGCTCGTTGGAGAAAAAGAATGTTGTAGATATAAATCATTTAGGTGGAAAAAAAAATTCATTCCAAGCCAATAAACAAATACCTCTTTTGCTCTCTGTGCCGCTCGTCGTTCTTCCAAGCGCTTTTGCTCCTCAGCACGTCGTTTTTTCGTTTCTTCGGCAACCTACAAATTTGAAAGATCTTGCAGAAAATTCAAATCAACATTAAATTCTTCCACTCTAAATTCAATCATTTCCACCTGTTTTGCTGATTCACTATGTTTATCAAATGCCTTCAAGACCATTTCTCGAGCCTTCGTGATATCAGCACCAGTATAGAAATCCGTTTTTCGTGAGAGAAAACTAAAAACAAAAGAAAAACCACATAATAATCTAAAATATGTGAGGACCACGTAACTTTAACTAAACTTAAGGAGGAGAATAAACTGGGAATTACATTAAAATTAATTTAAAACATTCCAACTTTAAACATACCAACTGCATAGTCTAAATCAATAAAAGTTTGGGAAATAATTTTTTTTTCCTTAAGAAAGTAGTGAGTAATGAATAAGAAGTAGATAAAGTGGATAGGTTACCCGAATAATACATCTAAAAGCTGGGGCACACCACCTTCCATTTGTTGCGCCAAGCCCAAAAGGATAACATCGTATTTACCAACTTCATCCATTGTGTACTATAAATAAACAATATCTTTAAAAGAGAAAAAAACTAATAAGGGTTCGATACCGACGTGTCTGCATCTAGTCCTTTTCTTCTTCTTGTCCACTTTGTCTTCACTTTTCTTGATTTCAGACTTGAAAAGAATGGAAATGGTAGATGATGAGCTTGAAACATTTGATGTTTGAGGAAAGTTGTGTGGTTGAAAAACCATAGTTCACAAGTAGTCACAAGTAATGTGATCTATTAGACGTACTCACATTCTTATTTACGGAAATCACCATAACCCAAATTATTTCATTAACGATGGCTATTTAAATAACTGGAATATTTAAATACCTATAAAATATAAGTTAAAACATCAACGAGTGGTAACAAGGAAAATAACAAAAATTTGCATGCCCTTACTCATTCATAACTTCAATATATAACTGCTAACCTAACCATTAATTTCATCTAAGTTAATCTTACTTAATTTAACTGTACCTAAAATCTGTATTTCTGTTTACATACGTCTTATTAAAAAAAGTAACAAAAATTCTTAACTCTAATAATTACTACTGTCAATACATACAAACATTATTTATAACTACCATATCTCATTCATCAAATCTCAATATTAACTTTACCTAACCAGTGATTACCTTGATTATTCATTCCAAGTAAAACGTTATCGATGTCAAATAGGTAAAATGACTTTTTTTAAAAGGAATTAGCCACGATTGTAGAGTAATGTAACGAATAAATCCCATGAGTAAGTAAGTTAAAGTTAGATATTGCAAATTACACAGAAACCTTTAACACCATTTCTCGACTCACAAATGTGTTTTCTCGGACAAGAGCAAACCACTGTCAGCTTGGTAAATTACGGACGGCGTGTTCCTGCATGTTTGTATAACTAATTTTATATAAGTGTTGTTGCCGGCTTGTTTTCATATCCATTATGTATTTCATTTTTCATCTTTGGTTTAAAAATATTACCATGTATCAAACAAAATTGTTTTTCTTTTATGAATTGTTCTCAGAACTAACAATTTTGTGCAAATTATATTTGTATTTTTTTCCACCCATTAAATTACCAAAAATTTTCATTTTATACCGTAAATTAACAAGTTTTGTATTTCTCTTCCGTATATATGAGTTTTCCAAAAAAAAAATAATGTAGGTAAGTCCAAATGTAAGGATCATTTGTTTACAGACCATTACATATATTAACCTTATCAATACCTCCCTTTTCGATTTCGATCGTTAACTTTATATTTTGCGTGATAAGTTAGATTGTTTTTATGTTGCATGAATTCACTTAAAGGATTGAAATTTTAAAAGCAGTCAGCGATAAATTAGGATATGAAATGCTGTAGTCAGTTGGGATTGCTCATCCAAATCTATTGTTATAGTTGCAGTGCACATGTTTGATGATTTCAGGATTTTCTTCCTAAATATAAATTATTTTTGAAATTGGAATATAACATATTAACTAATCATGCCGAAGAGGAAACGAAGAGGAGATGAATGCATCCAAGGTATATATATAATATACAGTTTTAATTGAGTGTAACGATGACACAGTGCACAATAAAATCCTTAAGAATATTTAGTTTTAATATCCGATTTAAGAATAGCATAAATTGAGTTTTTCAAAGTAAAAACAGTAAAAACATAAACAAACTTAATATAAACGGTAATCTACTATTGAGCTGTAGATAAGTCCAAAATTTTCATTTTGTGGTTGTAACCAATGAATTCATTTTGTTTTCATAATTTTTTCATTAAAATTAATTATTTTGCAGAATTAGAAAAGCAGCTACAGAAATCATTGAAACAGCAAGATGATCGAAAAGTATGTGATCTTTGTGTAGAACTTGGTGATGAGTATAGACGAGTCGGTGATCAATATGAAGCATTATGTTATTATCGGAAGAGTGTGGAAATTGCCGAAAAATTAAAGATTTACGAAAATGCTGTTTTTGCTCATCGAGCCATCGCGGAAATTCTCGTTGATCCGAGTATATTTCTAAAAAAATTTTGTACTAACAATTTGACTACCACTTTATTATATTTATATGTGAATAATTAATTATATTGGCAATATATTAGAATTATGTTAGTAATTAGGAGTGCGTTAATTGACTCTCTCGTTCTTTATAATCATGCTTTGATTTATTAATGGTACAACCATATTACATACATCAATTTTTTTATTTTTTCTACTTACATTATTTTGTTACTGCTGTTTGACGCCTTTGTTTAATAATATGCTGATTATTGATATTTTACAAAAAAAGTTGAATACAACAATGTAGATGTAATTATTGTACTAGCTTGAAGAAAATCGCTTAATTATATTTTTTAATTATCTTTTATATTTCCTAATTATTTTGCATATTTAATGTATTTCTTAATTATATTTTCAGCTATTCGGGAAAATACTAAAGCTTTAAAGCATGGGAAGAAATATTTGGAAGCAGCGAATAAATCTGGAAAAGTCCACTTTATCCAACTTGCATATCATGTACTTGGCTGGCTTCATCTACAAATCTACCTGAATTCAAATGCAAAGCAGGAATCGTTGCTAGAAAAAGTGATCTCTTCTACTTCACTTTTAAATATATTTGAGAAGTATTGAAATGTTGTAAAAGAAGAAAAATGGATTTCATTTGAATTTTAAGTTTAGTCTGAAATATATCAGAATTTCAAATATTATTTAATGGTAATATATTTTATTTCTAAATTAGATATATACTTTTTCAGGCTAAACAGTGGTGTGAAAGAAGTCTTGCTTATTTATCAAAGCATGCTTTGGATATTGATTGCGATAAAGAGTGGGAATTTATAGCCTTTATTATTTAACTTAAAGCTGATAAGTTGCGCTATTGTTAGCAAATTCACCATGATCATTTGGGACCATATTCCAAATCTTGATAACTGGCAATTTTCGGTGAACTTGTCTATTTTTCGGTTTCATATAAGATATGATCATGAGTTAACTGACATTATATAACTAACTGATGGTAAATTCAATAGTCTGACAAGCGTTTGCCTGAGGCACTATCTTGGAATACTCAAAGGTCAGCTTACCTCGATATCACGACGGCATGTAAGGTCGGATTCTACCGTAAATTAATTGTGCATAATTTCGGTGAATTGTACATAACAATTAATCAGCAAAATTAATCTTTGTAATAATTTGTCAGTGCATCGGCATTTCCTTCCTGCGAAGTTATTTTTTAGATTTCATTGTGTGAAGTTGAATTGATGATTGCTTTGACTACTTTAGCGCAGTGCAGATTGGGCAAGATTCAAGGTCAAGGAAGGCTCGATTACAACAAGTGCTCTCGCAGATATGTGATAAGATGAAATTACAAAGTTTATCATTACGTTATCACGGTGCAGCAATGGCTTATGCAGTGTATGTTATTTCGAAAATTTTGCTCATTTTAGGATTTTATTAGGTTAAGAGTTATACATGTCGAATGCATCTTTGGCTGAATTAGGATGTCAACAGTCCATGGTTTGCATATCTCCGAAGTTGCCTACTTGCTAACTTACATGATTCCAGAAAAGTTAATGATATATATTTACTGTACAATAGTTTTTAATAGGAATTACTTTCTATTTGTTTCTGTGATTGTCTTCTATTTGCTCATTTCTTTTAATTTAATTCTGTTATTATTATCGTACGTAGTAAATTTTCAATTCCATTATATATCATAATGCTGACATACAAGGAAAAATTAGATTTTTTGCAGGCGTGCTGGTGATCATGACTTGCAATACCGCTGTTTACTTTCAAAAATAAATTTTTCTGGCGACCAGCGTTTGAAAACAGCTATTGAGCTAGTTCATGTAGCATCCAATCTAGATCAACAAGCATCTTGTGAAGCGAAATTCATCTTAGCCCAAGTATAAATCACTCTATTTTAAATAAAAATTTAAATTCATGAAGTTCTTTTTTGAAGTTCAAATAAACTTCTCCTCATGTCAGTGCTGTTATTTTTTGAAGGAAAAAATTAGAGCGAAAGATTTTGTTGGTGCCAAATGGGATCTGATTTCAATGTTAGCTTCCAAAGCGCACGAAAAATTGGACGCTGAAGAGCAAAGATCTTTCTATCAGATATTGATAACAGGTGGTCTTTCATTTCATCACAAAGTTTGGAAACTTGGAACATAAAGAGATTTATCTGTTTCTCTTGTCGTTTACTCATTGGTGTTTTTTGCAATAAATTTCATTTTAGAATATAGCTTTGTCATTCATTTAAACATTTCACACAATTAAATGAAATCGTTCTTCTTACCATGCACTTCTACTAAAGCTCATTCAAGCATCAAATATTTTAAGTTTGTGATTTTATCTTGAGTTAATTTTTCACTTGAAAGAAAAACTAATATTCAAAAAAGAAGTAAAAAACCATGGTTTGCATTGCTGGCTGTAGTTTGGCGAGTTTTCAAATATTTTCGCAAACACTTTAAGAATTATAAAGTTCCACCTTTCTTTTACCATCCTCTTGGTAAAACAGAAATGAAAATGAAATAGCCTTCTCTTTACCTTTCGTTATCTTTTGATTTTGTTACTTTATTATTTTAGCTTACAAAACGATTGAACGATTGAGAGTGCTGCCAGATGCCGATGAACATTTTAAAATGAAGATTAATGAAAAAGTTGCAGATAGCTTGTGTGAGGTATAATCTATCTGTTTCGTGTTTTCCGCTTTGTTAGAAATATATTCATTTACGGAAATTTCTGATCGGTTTTGTAAGAACTATCATTTGTAGATAGGATTTTGTGAAATATCACTCGAGTATTACAAGCAGATGTTGACTTATGCTTGCCAAACCGAAGATAAAATTAAAGCTCTGGTATCAGTGGCAGAAACAGCCAAAGAGTTAGATCGTTACGAAGAGGCATTAAATTGCTTTGTTGAAGTTGAAAATCTTGAAAACACTTTAAATATTTCCAGTGCTAAGGTATGCACCTTAATTCTTTTAAAATTCGTTTAAATTTTGTTTGAGATTTGCATGCTGGAAACTTTATGGTTTGCATTCAGTTGAGGAGGCAGAACAGAAATTAAGTACTTCTGGTAGCAGTTATCTTCGAAATTCGAAATTTAACGAGACTTTTATCATCTCCTTAAAATTAATCAGAATTATGTTATATTCAGAAAGCGGATACAAGTCTTTGCATTGCTAGTGCTGCTGCTAATATTGATTCTTTCACGCTGCATGAAGTTCTCGAATTGTTCCGAAAATCAGAATGTCTTGCTATCTACAACCATCAGAAAGTAATTTCATTCGTTATTTATATGCATATTTGAGAAATTTAGTTAAATAAGTTATTTTATGCTTTGATCTTACTTAAGTTTAACGGAAATCAATATGTCAAAATACTTATGTGAAAAACAACTATAATTCTAAGTAAGCTGATTATTAAACAAATAATTTAATTTTTTAGAAAACTTTGTATGAAAACATGTTGGCGTATATGAACGAAAATGATGTAGACAGAGATTTACGTATAGAAATTGAGGCAAAACTTATTAGTCTCGGTAATGATAAGGAAAATGATGGTAAGAGATCAGAAAATGTTGAGGAAACAGATGAAAACTTTGTCGATGAATGGGATGACTTGAGTGATACACAAATTTTGGCTCGTTGTTACGGTCAGTATGTTTTTTCTATGCTATTCAGAAAAGTAGATGCTATTTTCGGTACTATTCAGTTTATCCAAACAGAAATGAATGATATATCAGCTTCGATTAAATAACAGATATCATGTATACATGAGATATAAGGACAATGCCTAATGCCTTTTAAAACAGTTTGATTGTCCTTTTAACCTATAAGTCGGATTTAACTGAAGTTGTTCGTATTGGTAATATTTTTTTTTTTTGAACTGGGTAATATTTCTGAAACTTTCATGTATTATACATAACGTATTGAACAAAAAAAAGACATAAACGCATTGCACATAGTATATAGTAGTTTTAGAAGAAGCGAACCGTCACAGTATGGAAGAGCGCATTCGCTCTGAGAAAGATAAGAAAATCAATTTATATGGTGAAACACGTATGCATGAGGCTGCCCGCGGTAGCGATACCCACCATTTGAAAATGCTTGTCGAAATGGTTTGCTAGAATCATTTTTTCTTTTTCTAAAAATGCTGTATTTGCTTTTGATTTAACAATGTTGAACAGAAAACTTTAGTAAATAAATTCGTGATGTTAAGCTTTTTTCGGGATTCATTTGTCCGATGCAATTAGCTGGAATCTTTTCTCTTGAATTCTATTATTCGTTATGTATAAGTGAAGTTATTAGGGATATAATATAAATGCTCGCGACGAGGGCGGCTGGACACCGTTACATGAAGCTGTTGGAGCGTTGAAACTCGAAAATGTTCATATTTTGGCTCAGCTAGGTGCAAATCTTAATATGCGTTCAAACGAAGGAACTTTATCAGCTGAGGGTGAAAGAACGGTGTGTTTAATTTGCAGTTTATTTCATTATGCTCACAACTGATTTTTTTGGTGACTGGTTACGATAAAATTTATTGGTTGTAAATGATTTAAATCAAAAATTTTCCGTTCATTTTTAATTTAAAGATTGAAAACCATTGCTTACTTTAAAATTTTTTCTCTCTCTTAATTCATTTACTGCAAATTTTTGGAGTTTTTTGCATTCCCAAAAAATGAAATATATCAAAGAATGAATGTAGTATCTGGCTTGATCGCCGATTCTCTAGTGTTCAGTTTTTCAACTTGGAAATTCTGAAGCTTTCTAAATACATTCTAGGATAGTGGTGGTCTGACTCCATTAATGGAGGCATGTGATCGAGGTGCAACAGCAATCGTTGATTTATTATTGAAGTTTGGAGCGAACGTTGCTATCAAAAATCGTGATGATTGGACTGCGCTTGACTTTCTTCGAAATGCAATTAAAGTGGGAATGGTTGAGGATGATGTTATGAAGGAAGCGAAACGACTTGTATCAGTCATGGAAACTAAACTAAAGGAAGGTTTCGTATTTTATTTGTGGTATTTATGTATTTTTGTTAATGTGTAAGGCCAGTTCATTTTCTCGATTTCGTTGACGTTAAATACTTGACACAAAAATTTCTGAAATCTATCCATTAATTTGTAAGTTTTTGAAATATAAGCAAATTTTTAATTTCAAATTTAACATCACATTCACAAAATTATCCGAAAACTTATCCATAAATCTACGAGTATTTGAACAAAAACCTTCGAAACTAATTAAAGTTGAGAAATTTTGTTGATTTTGTGGTCTTTTTTTTGTTAATTAATAATTTTATTTATTCATTGGTTACTTTTAATTGTTTTCTGTATTAACTGTTAAAAATGTTTGCAATCACTCCTTTTAATTCTCCTGTATGCAAATTCTCGATGTTTTATCAATTTTTTGTGTCTTCAATTTGAAATTTGTAATTGTTTCAGCGAATATAGTAGTAAATGCTGAGCCACCGCCGAAAAAACTCAAATTAAATGATAAGACAAAACCAAAAACAAATTCAAGTGTTGCATGTGGAAAAATTCGCGATTCAAATTTATCAAATTTGAATGAATATCGGAAAACGATAGATGTTGTCGGACGTGGAACAACACATGATCGGATAAATGTTTTGCTGGATGGGTTGGATGTTGATGGTACTTCGTCTGATGAGGTTGTTTTTATTCATTAAATTTCATTTGAATATATTACTGTGGCGCATGACAGTGTTTTGAAATATCTCGTTCTAAATGTATCTATCGACTAAATCAGTCTTGCTTAATGTCATGTAATGGCTATGTAAATTTCCACTATTGATATATGCTAATAATAGTTTGTTTATCCCCAGTTTGCTATGTAATATATGGCATATACTACCTCATGGATTTCTTGGAATGTTTTGACACAGCCGTACGCGACTATATTTATGAACTGTCGGAATGAAATTCGAGACTGTTTCATTAATTGTCACGAAGTTGGAAATGGATATGCAGCAATATAATTCATCCCTTCTTTTTCTGAAAATTTAAAATATCCAAATGTCAGATTATAGGATGAAAAGGATGAAATGTGGCAAACAAGACATTTGTCGCCAACAGTGGATGGCTCACTTGTCGACATTAATGATTTCACTGAATCACCTTCTGCTCAGCAAGCTTCATCGTCTTCAAATTCTTCGCCTTCTTTATTAAGCAAGCAGAAAATTGCGGGGACTGAAAGTAATCTTTTTCATTTTTTTTCTTTTTCTAATTATACATGTTTCTTGTTTTTCGTGTAGTAAGTTATGGGACAGTAAAATTCAGAAATTTGCAAAAGTTGTGTTTGGAAAATTTAGGATTGTAACTTGTTCATTGTAGGTTATTTAATTAAGCATAAGAATTTTGAATAATTATGAAAGATTTTGCAACTTTTATTTTCAAAATTCTTAATCTTTATTGAAATCTATGTTACTTCAAAGTGAGAATCAGTTTCAGCTGAAGAGATCGCTCAGATGAAACAAAAATTTTTGGCTTGTGATGAATTATCATGTAATTCTAATTCTACTGCATTACCTGATCTTTTTACTGCTCCGGAATCTAATCAAAGCAAGCGAAACCGACGGAGCTTAAAAAGGTTGGTACTTTGTTCCTAAAGATTTTCCTAAAATATTTAGAATGTATAACCTTTGCTACAGCATGGTTTCGTTTGAATCATTTTGCTTCAAATTAATTTGCTTTCCGTTAAGTACGTTTGGATTATACTAAATTTCATTTTCAGAAACTCTGATGAAGATTCAGATGAGGATGTAGTGATCTCACGTCCAGCAGCGCAAAGCACACAAAGTAGAAACATTTCAAGTACCGAATTGAAACATCCTAGACGTTGCAATGTGGAAAACTCAACTATTGTTAGAAGAGTGTCGTCATCACCCTTCACGCCACCAAGTGTTAAAAATCAAATTTTCATCAAAATTATTATGACAAAGGATGATGGCACACATTTAAAGACTAAAGGGATGCCATTTGCAAGGTTTATAAATCATTTTCAGTACAAAATCTTGCCGCATTTTCTATCGAATCGCATCAATTATTACCAAATACAGTTCTTTTTCTAGTGGATGGAAGTTCTTTGTTTTTATAAATTAAACCTTAATGGTGGATGGTTTTCGTCACCATTGCGCAGTATCGGGTTTGTGAATCTTATCATTTTCCATCATCATAATTTCAGTTCCTGCTTCATAGGCGATATCCGAGAACGTTGCAAAGAAGAACTGAAAGGTGATGTGGAGTATACATCGATGACTATATGCCATGATGATTGCGAACTGTCAGATGATACGCCAGTTGAGTTGGTACTAGGAGATCAGAAAATACTAAAGTGTATCATAAGCGGTTTGGCAAAACCGTCTGCTGCTCAAATTTATGCAAAACGGACGAGAAGTAACTGCTCTAAATTACTGTTTAAAGCAAATTACTGTTTATTTCATAATAATCATGCTATAGTAACTACATAACATCTGAGCAAGCTAATTTGGAATGTAAGAAAGTTACTTATTAGAACATCGAGAACTATTAGTTTTTAGTGTCATGTGATATTTTTTGGACATACTTGTAACATCAAACTTTGCTTTGCATACAATACCGTGTCATTTTGTAGGATTAATGACAAATGTGTTACATGCACTCTCAGAAAGTACGAATGGCTTTTTGGATTTACGTGAAATGAATATTGGTCAAGATGATGCAGTTTGCGCAGCTGTTGAAGTTTTGCAGTCAAATATACTAAAACTTTATCTGGATGGCAATTCACTATCAACATCATTTATCGATTTAATTTCAAAAATCGTCCGACATCTCACGTCACTGAGTTTACCTTGTTGCGCATTAAAAAGGTATATTTAATATTGCTAAGATGTATTCTCTAAATTTATAGCAAAGTTATAGATCGGTTCGTTGGAAGTCAAATGTTATTATTTGCGTTTATAGTTCAAATTCTTCGGATTCTTTTTTTTTTTTTTTTCTATCTGCGATGATGGATGAAGTAGGCCATATAATATAAGGCTCTTCAATTTCGATTTTTTTCAAATCATCATTTGATCATTTGATTTCATTTTAACGTGAAAGGTCTTTGTAAAATTTTTGGGCTTATCAATGTGACGATAGACGAGGAGGGAATGATTCCTTTTCTTTCACTTTATAAGTTGTTTCTTGAACATTCGAATTTTGTGAAAGATTATACATTTTAGTAGGCACCTTCGACAATTGATTAATGATTATTCTGTTTGTGATGCATTGGCCAAACTAGATTTGAGTTATAATAATCTCAGTGATAATGGTTCGGATCAAGTGGTCACTTTCATTAGCTTGTGTCCGAATCTTACAGATCTTAAACTTGCATCTTGTAATATAAATCGAAATGTTACAAACTGTCTAATACAACAGATTAAAAGTAAGTTTTAAATATTTAAATACATTTATATATTTAAAAAGCTGAAATTTTATCATATGCAGAAAAAGTCTTAAACATATTATACTATAGTTTTGCATAATTTAATTATGTAATTTGCTTATATTTTGTGATTTATTTTACTCAGCTACTTGCGTTAGATTTAAGCTTTCATGTACATAGTTTTTGTGCACATGTTTCATAGTCCGAGTTTTATGTAAAGACAAAAGTCAAATTGTTTAAAAAAATGAAATATAACGATTACTCTCCAGTTGTTTTGATAATAGAGACTTATTCTAATCCAAGTTCAACTGGTAGCAGTTTTATCACTTCGCTAAGTTTTTTGAATCAATCTTTTTTTCAGAAATAATTTCTTTGGAAGTGCTGGATTTAAGTTTCAACTCCGAAATCAATTCTGATCACGCTTCAGAAATAATCCATGCTTGTAGGAACTTAAAATATTTAGATCTATCATGTACAGCTATATCCAAAATGGACAATATGGTAAGGCGAAGTGATTGATTTTTTCTTACTTTTGTTTTAATTTTTCTTCTATCACTGACATTTAAAGGACGAATACTTCAGTTCAGCAACACACATTCAGAGGTTTCTAGAATTACAGATTTATTCGTTTCATTTAATAAGCCAAGCAAAATTCTTATTTTATCTGCAATTTACAAATATATAGATCCTAGTGTTTTAATCAGTTACTCTCTTGCTAATGGTTAAGACATCAAATGAGACATAACATTTTCATTAGTAATTAGTAGTAAACACTGTAGTTTCATATTTATTACCAGACAGGAATATCGATCATTCAAATTTTTTTACTAATAGTAGTATTATTTAATTTCATTGTAAAATATGTTTTGTGAATATTTTGCGCTAATTTTTTATTACTAATTTATTAATTTTCCAACGGTATATGTAGTTAATATTTCAGTGTTTTATTTTTACTCTACACAACAAACTAGTTACAACTGGAGGAGACGAGCACTAAATTAAATTCAAATTCGTGCCTCATAAGATAATTTTTGATACGATTATACTCATAGAATTCTATTAATTATTTCTGTAATCTTTCTGTTTTCATTTAGGTTACTGCATTTTAAAGAAAAAAAAATCACAACTTAATGAATCGTGTATTCAAAATAGGTAACACATTAAACGCAAAAATTTTATCAATTGTTCTTCAATTTCAGCCAGAAGTGGAGAGAAAATTAGAAATATTCAAATTATCCCTCAATAATTTGAATAATCCAGATTATATAATACAATGGTCCTTGGTATACTGTCCATATATGCTGTTTCTGGATTTGTCTGCAACAACAGTCGTTTCTTCGATTGTAGAAATTTGTCTGAAAATTAAGGCTGATAAGGTATCTTCAGTTTTCTTTCAAAATAATTGTTGAAACCATGGTATTTGTGGGTTCCTTAACTTTTGCATGCCTATGACTTTCGTCAAAATCTTTAAACTTATTTTGCTAATAGTAATATTAATTTCAGTGTAAAACATGTTTTATGAATATTTTTTGCTGTAAAAATCCATCATTAATTTTCCAACTGTATATATAATTAATGTTTCTGATCTTACAATTTTTTACTCTACTCAGTCAGATCAGCTTTGATTTATAGAAAATGAGCAGTACAATAAATTCGTAAATATTCGATCCATTTGAGATCATTACTAATCGAAGAAAACGAATGCAAAGTATATGGTGATTTTTTCCAAGAATCAGTGTTAAATTTTAAAATAATTTTTTTTTTTTTTCATTTCAGATGCCTTTTATAACAGTTTTGCTGGCTGATTGCAGCTTGCTTGAAGCGAATCCGGAAGAAGTAGTTCATATTATTAAAGCAGCCTTAATTACAAGCAGTACAGTAAGGTTTCAGTTTAGCAGTAAATTTCGTCGGAAAATTGAAGAGATGCTGCCAGATTCGTATAAATTTTGTTTGAAATGATCTCATTGTATATTATAAATCGTATTATTGAATAAACATCATATTTCGAAGTTGCTAAGTTTGGCTAAATGCGTTGTTGTTTTGCAATATCAATTTGAATACCTTTTGTGCTAAGTTAAGCTGTTGTATTTAACATTTCTTATATAGCAGATCGACAAATTATTATTAATTGGATCTATATGTTTCATTTGTCTGATTTATTCGTTAGCAATCATGTTGAGTTATCTTTGATGATACGCTTATTTCTCTCCATCACTTTGGCATGAACATTGTTTTTAGAGAAACTGGTGACCAGTTTTAGTGTATATGGTCTAAAATGGTCAGCTTGCGGAACTGATTAAATGGCAGAGATTCATCTCCCAGGCGATATCGTTTCTTTAGTTGTTCCTGGTGAAAAACGAACAGAAGTTGGTTCTAAAAGTTTTAGATATAATATTTTCTCTTAAACTTGATCTTGTTTAGTAATAACATATTTCATGTTTTATTAATACAGGTATCCACTCTTATTTGTGAAACAGACTCATTTTAGATAATTGGTTGTGGTCTAGAACGAGTAATTAATAATCCTGATCAGTTGTTAGTTGTACAACCAGGAATACGGCGTGTATCGCATGGTAAACAATGGATGGCAGTTCATTCACGAAGGTTTTATCAAATTTTGAAATGTGAAAACTAAGCAGTAGATTAGTATCATTTTTTAATTAAATATAATCTCGGACTTGATTTTTAGCAAATTGGCTTAGGTTTGAAAGGAATGAATAAAAGGTGACAAAAAATATTTTTCAGATATATCCCACAAAAGGGTGATCGTGTAATTGGGATTGTTACTTCTACTCATGGTGAAACATTTAAAATTGATATTGGCTCTGCAGACATCGCATTTATCAGTTTCCTCTCTTTTGAAGGTTTAATTGCACACTTGATTTTACATATTTCAACTTTATTAGGTTCAGTGAGTGAGACTGTTTAGTAATTATGAAATTAATTTTACAGCAGTTCTTCAACAGAGATAAATTTAAAGTTAAATTTTGATTCACTAAAAATTATTACGGAACATCGTTATAGTTTCGTCATTAAATAATAACAGAAATATTGATGGTGATTATTTTTAGAGAACGTAGACAAAAAATGCAAATCTCGATTCTTTGAATCTTCCTAATCTTCAGGTTCATTTCAGCTTTATTTAAGATTATTTCGTTTTTTATTTTCTAGGTGCCACAAGACGTAATCGTCCAAACTTGAAAGTTGGTGATTTGATTTATGCCTCTGTCACTACTGCAACAAAACATCTTGAACCAGAAGTATGTTTCATTACCGACCGTTCTATTGTCAACTCACCTTTCTCATCGAATACTTGTTTATTATTATTCTGAATGTGAATCACAGTGTCTAAAGGAATAATTGAAAACTCATAAAAATCAAACAACAAAAAATTGGCGTTGTGAACATGGTAACATTCTTATGAGTTGTAAGGTTTCAGTTAAAAGTTGAAGTTTCAGCTTACATGCATTGATAGTGAAGGTCGAGCACGCGGTATGGGTCTATTACCATCTGGAGGCTTCCTTTTTAAAACAAGTCTAAATCTTGTACGTCGAATTCTTTCACCATCTTCAAGACTATTATCGCTGATTGGTAAAGATATAAAATTCGAAATAACAAGTGGTATGAATGGACGAATTTGGATTAAAGGCATAAATGTCGTTGAAATTATAGCCGTGTGTCGGATAATTAAGGAATCAGAATTTATCACAGAATCGGATATCCCAGCTTTTGTGGATAAGCAAATTAGTCTTTTATATGGCTTTCCTGTAGCTGCTGATGACAGTGATAATGATCGGTTGTAATAATCACATGTATCCGCGTGCACGTCATATGTTTGTGTGCGTATGTATGTACGTGTGTAAAAACTGAGTTTTGATTCCTGCAATCATTTAATCAACAGATACAAAAGTAGTTTATTTATTATTGGATGAACTATGACTTCTTTTCTTTTTTTTTTAGCTTTCAGTTCATTGATTGATAGAATATATTAAAAGTAATGAATTAATTACGAAAACCATTATTATTTCTAAAATGGTAACTGTCAATTGATGTTTGGATGTATTTGTTCTAATACTCTTTGTCCTGTACAACTTGTTAAATCAGCTTTTTCTAATAATCATGTAACGAGTTGGAATTCGCACATTCCTGCTTATTGACCACATTATACAATAAAGTTTCTTAATATTGTATTTCTTTCAAGCATTATTTTATATTAGAAGTTCGTTTTCTAGTTTAATTTATCATTGCTTAAAATTTTTTTGTTTATTTAAATAATTTTTATTGGCAGCAAATATTATATTATGAATATGCTTCAGTTATCGTCAGATTTTATTTGTTCACTCAAAAATATCTTAATTTGAATATTTTCAGAATTATTCAGTGCAGCGTAAAGGCTTCTGATTCATTGATTTGATAGAATATATTATGATGTAATGAATCTCATTTCTTATTTTTACAAGCTCTAGAATAGTTCAGTTTATTTCCTTTTTATCCGTGAATGTTAGTCGTTTTTTTTTTTTTTTTTCTCCTATTCCGGACACAGGGAAATCCTAAGGATTTGAATGCGTCACTTGATAGCTTCATTCCAGTTATCCAAATCGAGGATTGTAGAAACGAAAAAGAAAGTTACAAAATGGAGAATGAAGAACAACCAAATACGGAAAAAAGTAATGATGAGGTGACAAAAAAGGTCGGTGAAAGCGATTCCATAGTTTTGCCAGAAGCAAGATCTAGCGAGCAAAGTTTGCAAGAGCTAACTTCACTGGTTGGTTTTTTTTTGATATAAGGAAAACATTTGGATAAGATGATTTGTAGTGATATCATTTTTTATTTTACGATGTAATATGCTGTTATTTTTGAATACATTTTTCCCTATCTATGGTGATGAATGAAACGTATAGAAAAAGAAGCAATTTATAGAGAATAAATAAAGTATGTAACACAGTTGTGACTAAACAATCGAAATAGAAGACCATTTTTCTGCCCTCAGATTTTCATGAAGGAAATCACATATAATATTTACAGATTTTAGACAGAAAACAAGAAAACATACATTTCAGATACAAGGAGTATTGCAACAAACGCAGGATCGTTTTCAGCGCATGTCTGATCAAATTATTGGTCGAATAGATGATATGACAAGACGTATTGATGAGTTGGAAAAGAGCATAACTGATCTAATGACACAAGCTGGAGTTGAACCGGAACCATAATGAGCTGCTTACGGTAGAGCGTTGCTTTATTACTCTGGAAAATTTAGCACCATATCACTGTAGAAAATAGCAAGAAATAGAGTTGGAAAGAGAGAGGAGTTATTGAAAGTGTAGTTTGAATAATATAACTAGGTGTTGATTTATTCAACAATTATATGATTCCAAACCATTAGTTTTTTTTTTGAAGGAAAAACTAGACATAATTTTTATATCAGCATAAAGTATCTAAAGAACATCAAAGTTACCAGTTTGATATTCTAGTACATGAAATTGTCGAACTGTACTTTAATTTGGTTTCAATTTGCTAATATCTATTTAATAAATATACTAATTGCAGTATGCTGGCATTTGGTATGATGGACTTATTCTAGAGGTTATAATGACATAGTAATATCCGCATACATCACAATCGATATGCTACAGTGGATAGTATTCCAGTATTCATTTAATAAATTCTTATTTCACGTTTATTGCAGGTGTTACTCTCGATTACTATGGACCTTGTAAGCTCATCTGTTTTCCGAAAAAAAAAAAAAAAAAATGAAAATCCTTGATTAACTAGTAAATTATTAACAACGTGCTTTTCATTGTTCTTAACTTTTCTTTGTTGTGAAGAAACTTTATCATGTACGTTCAGCATTTGGAGTATTTGTTATCAATTTTCAAAAATTGAATTGTTTACATGCGAATTCTGAGTGATTACTACTTTGCAAAAAATTTACATAATCTATAGACTACAAGTTTCAGTCCATAGATTTTATTGATTAAAGTTTAATTATTTGTCTCACATATACTAATATAATTTCTCTCATTGCTACAAATACTCCAGTCCTATTTGTTTAGACCGCGAAGTTTTTTCATTTAATTTTAGGATTTGCAACAGAAAATTTGGCATATTTTATAGTAATAGTAAGTGGTAATTTCCATGCATTGTCAGCAGTTGCTTCATCTTTCATTACTATTATTTGTTAAATACACAAACAATATTTCTTATTTTTATGAATACTTATACTGTACAACCTACACTGGCTTTACGTCCAGATAATCAACTTGAGTGAATGCACATAGATTCAGGTGTGATGTAATAATGGTTCTGTGATTTCAACAAATAAGAAATATTGTTTCCACTTTGAATTTAATCTCCAAATGGATTTTCATTTATTTCTATTTTCGCTTTCGCAGGCTGCACAAAAAGACATAAAATATTATTTGCTATACGAATTCTTTCCTCTTATTCTCGAAGCGTAGGCAACAGTATTTGCTCGCTTCGAATGTCATGAATAAAACGGGATTCCGGATTGCTTACTGCCGAATCTGTTATTAATGCATACAAATCCAAGCATAGAAGTTTGCGTCTAAAATTTTCCTTCCAGTTTGTTATATCATAAATATTTTGAAAATAAAGCAGTCTACTTTTTTGATTTCCTTTTTTTTTTTTAAAACAGGAATTAAACTAAATTCCATATAATCTTTTGACCAACTTTCTATTTAGCCACTTCCCGCTACATATCCAATTATTTCTGGTATGTTTCAGTGTTTCTGATATGCTAGAAACATTTTCCGGCCAAACATGTATACGTGATTCAAATTTTTGAATTACAAATGAGAGTCAGGTTATCTACGTTATATTCTAAATAAGGAACTGATAGAAATAGAACATTTATTTAACGGTTGTAATATAAAAGAATAGTTGCAGAAATTGTCGAAACTCATTCTATCCTTTACCCATTATTTTAGCCTACAAAGATTGGGTAACATATAGTCTCGACGTCGGATCTCGAGTAAGTCATACCACACTCCCCACTTCAACCTTTTCATCCAAAGTATATCGGCTCGACCACATAATGTAGGATTTTCCAATATATGTCATCCAGAATCACATGACCACCACTTAACAAGACGACAACCTCAACAGCTGCGTGAGTGCGACTGTTGCTGGTTTTGTGGTTTCAGTGCTGACCGACGATGTGATATTTTGATCTGGTATCATGAAAATATTGGTTGCTTGTGGTTTTTTCTTTTTTGAAATTAGCTTCTGATAAATAAACTCATTGCTCTTGCAGCTATCTGGACATTTTACTTGAAATTGAATTTCATACTGCATGTAACAACTATTGTTTTCCAGGTATTATTCTTGCTTTGTTTTTATTTATTAGTGTTCATAACGATTTTGCTCTTTAATTTTATCAATTTCTCCAGCAATAAAGTAAATTAATTGTTCAGAGTTGTATGCTTCTTATTTCTCAGATTTTTCCATACTCACCTTCAGATTTTAATTTCAGTCTTTACTTTATTGCTTAACCTTTGTTTTTTTTTTTCAATTCAGCTCGACTTTTAAAATTCATTTTTATGGCTAGGATTTGTTGTAATTAAATTTGGAATTCTTCATAAAGTAGCGTTTTTTATGAAACATTTTCCAACGAAATCAATGGGTAAAGCCGGGAGCAAGGTAAAAAATTACTCCAAAATCAAGAAGAACAATATAAACGATTTTCAAGTATCGTTAAAAAATCGATTCTATGAAATAGCTAATGGTGGATCAACCATTGACAAATCCGTTTTCTTTGTAAGCTCTTGGTTATTTTTTTGCATTATAAGATTTAAAATGCAATGAATATCTTCGCAAAATTAACTTTTACCAGTTTTTACTTTTCCAGAAATATACCGAATCAACAATATGCCCGCAGTTACAATTGTTCTTATATGATTCACTAAGTAAACCTGATAATGTCGTAAGTTCTCGTGCCTAAACAGAAATCCATCAATCAGTCAATGAAATTACAGTGATACATATCAGTCAGTGAAAATTATACGCTTGATAATTATTGGATTTGCTATCTGGAGATCTTAATGTAATAAAATAAAAAATAAAATTTAGGTTACGGTGGAACGTTTTGTACAGTTCGCTGAAATGATACTTGGTGATTTCAATCAACAAGCAAGAGCCCTCTTACAACTTAACCAACCAATTAAGCAGGTCGTAACTTCAATAAACATCAATAAATCTTACATTTCGTTCGAATTCCTATTAGTAGCAGTCAGTTGATTGGATTAACGTATTTTCCATATTTCAGATTATAGAGGTTATGATTTCTTCATTTTTCAAATGTGAACAGTTAGATCCACTAAGCATCACACTCCTCGTTGATTTTATTATGGAAGGCATTCCATTACAACTGGATCCATCTACCTTAAGTAATTTTCTGCAAAGCCAAATTATCTTATCGACTGTAGTGAAATATATCAGTGAGTTGATCTTTATTGGACCGCGAGACAGTGCGAAACTTTTACAACAAGTTAGTGAAAAATCCTTGCTTACTCATGCTGCACTGTGTCTTGTATATGCAAATTTACCCGAAGAATTAAGAGATCGATGGAAGCTATTGTTTTCAAGGTTCGATGTTGCACATTACTTACAACATCAATCAATCAATCAATCAATTAGCTCATACATTATCTTATGTCTCATAACCTAGTTTCATAACTAATAAGTGAAATTCCCCCTCCCCCCCCCCCCCCCCCCCTGTAAAAGAATATTTGGAGTAGTGTATCTTAGTTGAAGATAGGAAGTTCTCCATAGGAACATCACACAAGTTAGTCCTTATTTTTTACACAAACATCCCTTATTTTTTTTTAATGAACTGCAGATCTAATTTATACTTCGAGATGGAATCTAAGCATAAGACTAAGACCTTGACGGGAATTCTTGGAAGAAACAACTTGTATACTAATATTAATTTTAGTGAAAAACACGGTGAAAGTTTTATGAAATTAATGAAAAGTGTGGATCGTGCAGGTCCATGTTTGATTGTCATTGAAACAACATCCGACCGTGTTTTTGGTGCATTCGCCAGTCAGGGTTTCATTTGTGGTCCACGACATACTGGTGATAATCAATGCTTCTTGTTTGAAGACCGACAAAAATTACATATTTACAACGCTACGGGTTATAATAACAATTTTGGCTATCTCAATGCTGGTCAAGTTTCATTGCCAAATGGAATCGTACGTCTTCATTTCGTAATTTCCGAAATGATAGTTTACTTGCCTTACCCTACTTCATTACTGCTGACAATATTACACACCAATAGTGAATAGACTTGCGAAAGCAATCTCTCATCTCTTTAGAAATCTAGCATACAAATACTTTATGTATAATCTAACTTATCCTAACAACTTCAGTCAGCAATTTGTGGTCTACCTGAGTCTTATTTAACTTGAATTTTACCAAACTTTCATTAAATCGAAAGAAAATTTTCAGGGTATAGGTGGATATGGTGAGAATTGGTCCTTCTTTCTACATGAGGATTTTAGCAATGGTAGTTCCACTTCTGGAATTAGTACATTTGAAAAATGTTGGTTGGCTGGTGAAACAACGTTTAAAATGAAAAATGTTGAAGTTTGGTCAATTGGAGCAAAATGCAACGAAAGGATAGATACTGAAGTGCAAAATGATTTGGACAAACAACATGCGTTAACAAATAAAAATGAAGCACGTTTATTATTTGAATTAAGTGGTAAAGACTTCCATGGAGATTCCTACAAAGAATAAAAAAGTATACACCGAACGTGATAAAACTGACGGAAATATAGCTTCTTTTCTAATATCACGAAAAAATACAAAATTTTAACTTTGTCTGTTCTACCTTAAATGATATCTTTGCTGTTGTACACTTGGTCTAAATCATCTTCTGCTTACTTCTCCCTTATCTGTCCTACCTATCTCTAAAAGGACTGGATCAGTTCAGATATCTTCAGCTCTCGCTTTGCAAATTAATAGGTTTTTCTAGTGTAATTGTTATATACATTGTTTACATTAAATTTAAATAAATTATTTCTTATCCTTTTCGTCTTCTTCTTTAGGTTCCTCTAAACTGACTTGTTCATAACGCGACATCATAGATTCATTACGGAAGTTAGGCATCAATTCCCACGGAGTTTTTAGGTCAAATTTACGGAATTCTTGTGCCAGTTCAGTTGGCTCATATACGCATCGATTGAGCTCCGAATCATATCTCAGCTGAAAACCAAATCCAACAATCTATGACGTAACGTTGGGAGTGACGTCCACTTTCATAACTATTGTGTATTCAGAAATTAAGAAAACATACCTCAACATAACCAGACAAAGGAAAGTCTTTCCTGAACGGATGACCTTCAAAACCATAGTCGGTAAGGATACGCCGTAAATCTGGATGATTATTGAACCAAACACCGTACATGTCATAAACTTCTCTTTCATACCTGTAACAAGGGTGGAAAAAGTTGGAAGTTCATGTGTTTAAAGAAACTTTGAATTCAAATTTTGACTTACCAGTTCGCTCCTTTAAAAATCGGTGTTATTGACTCCAACGGTGCAATTTCATCGGTGTATGTGCGGACACGAATGCGTGCATTGAAACGTATCGAAAGAAAAGCATAAATGACCTAGAAAAATACAACTGAAGGGAAGAACAGTCCTAACAAAAACAGTTCTAAATATTGCTCACTGCACTGTGCATGTATGAGATTTCAGCACAACAACACTATTGAGAAATATGTTATTAGCTGCTTCCATCATTTTGCATAATTGCATACTGCCAGTTGTTATCGTGCAATAAAATACTGTCTAACCTGGTCTGATACGGGAAATCAAGTTATCAAATAAAGAAAAAATCTGTCAACGTAATAATAAATTCTCTTAAGTCATTTGCCATTAAATTGTTCAAGAACAAATTACCAAGCAACCTTATGTATGGAAGATGCTTTCAATTTTGCATAAATAAGCAAAACTAATAAAACCTCAAAACGAAATTTTCGTGAAGGGACGTCCATTCCAGTAATAAATACGATATTAGTAAACTGCGCTGCATGATTTCCTTTCAAAAATGCTATCACGGGTGTCACTCCACTTGGATGAATCAACAACTCTAATTCATCTCCAGCGGCAAACTGCAAAATAGCAAGCTATTTCAGAATTATTAGAAGAATGCAAGAATAAAGTTAATTACCAGTTTATCCACTCGATGAAATTCAAACTTTCAGACTGTATTAAAACTATTCTAATATCTAGTGTAATAAGTCCTTAATAGATCATTATATTAAAGTAAAGAATTGAAAAGTCTTATTTTCTATTCGATGAAAGTCATTATATGGAAACTTCAAAAATATCAGATTTCTGAAGCATATTCATAATATTAACTAAGTAAATAAAAGCTGAATATGTAACCTAAAACAATTAGAAAGACTCAAAGGACAACATTACTATTTGGTAGAGTGAACATATTGATAATGTGAAAGAAAATACCTGTACTTTTTGTACAAATTTTGGTAAACATTCCGCACAATATCGACCAAATTTAGCTAATTTTTCTCGTCTCATATCATCAATTTTCCAAATCGTTGCTGAACATAATTACGCAAATTCTTAAAATACTCATTAAAAAGTTTCGGAAAAAAAAAGAAAAACATAATGTTTAGTAGTACTTCGATTTACATCGAATTTTATTGGGTAAAAAAATTCACCTAAATTATAGTTTAAATTTCAAATTTAATCTTCGACAAAAAACGGAGAAATCAAGATTTGCATACCTTTCTTTTTGTTTTTTTCCATCTTATCAGAAAAATTTGTCGTACAGCTTCGCGTATTTTTACTAACTATTCCCGTAAACCTACATAATGTGCGCCAAGCTTGTACTTGGCGATTCAACATCTGAAAATTTTGATCTGAAGCAGAAAGATGTGTTAACTTTCAATAATATCACCTGTTAATTATTCATAATAGTGTCATTCTGTTATTCTATCTGAAATTAAGAGATGGCACAAGTCTACAAAGATAAACCAAAACATATAATCTGAAAGATTCTTATTTAGTTCAGTTAATACGATAGTTGTTGCCAAATTACTCAAAATAAATTTGACCAATTATCAAAAAGCGTAAAATCATACAGAGATAGCACTTGGAAGTGTCTTCAAAGAAATAACCGATATGCTACTAATAAATGATCAGATAATCAGGAATATTCGTTAAAAGAAAACAATCAAAAATTTTTAAATATTAAATTATGGCTACAATTAAAATTCATAAGAATCATTTGACAACTCGAATTAGGTTGCTAAGAAGCTAGAAAAGTTACCCAGTTCGTTAATGTAAATCATTGATGGATAAACACTACAATCACTGTTCTTACAGTGAGAAATATAGTGCTTTCAGAGAGGGTACGAGAAAGATCGCTTGAAATAAAATATACATGTATAGATGAAGGAAATTAGATGGAACAAGATATTTAATTAAAACTGAGGGTAAGATGAAATATCATCTAGTTTGAGAATAAAAGATGAGTTAGGGACTATATGAAATGATTTGTTTGGGAATGTTATGTTTTTCTGGTTTAAAGGATTAATATGTGTTATTATTATTACTATATAGTAGTTATAATGACTGAAAATTTTAGAAAAAAAAAAAAAAAAAAAGAAAAACAGAGAACAAGAAAGAAAGAAAAGACAAAGATTGAAAGGAAGTAATAATCAAAAGGAAATGGTGCTGTGAGAGAGTGAGAGAATGCCGAAATATGAACGGCCAGTCATTGTAGCAGTGATTGAGAGTAATTTTTTATCGGTACTAAATGCAACAATCTGATCATTAAAGAAAGAAAAATAAGTAGATGCATGGCATTTTGATCCAAATGATAAGTTAAAGCTATCATAAGCATCTTATCACACTTATCACCTCATATTTTGTTCATTTCCTATCCTTATCTTATTCTCTCCTCTCCTCTGTTATATCTTATTTTCATCACATTTCTTTATCCATAGATTTCAATAGCATCAATTTGAATGAGTTTGAATAAATTGGAAAGATGAAGAAATCAGTAATATCACTTGATAGTTTTTTTTTATTAAGAATATCAGTTAAGCATTTTCAAAAATATCACTTCGTTTTATTTTGATTTATTAAAATCTTTTTCGAAAATAAAGCTCAATAAAATTTAAAGAAATTGAATGTAATGTTTAGAGTTTTTTTTTTTTTTTTTTTTTCCTCCTTTTCAGAAATTTTTTGCTTAAGGGTTTTTTTTTTTTTTTCTTCTTCTCTCCTAAAGTTTGTAATTGAAATAGCATAACTTTCTTTGGCAAAGAAATAAATAGTAGTGGTAATTTCATGATTATTTTATTATAATAATTTTTGTAAATTCCATCGACTTGTCGTCAGACAGAGTGATTAAAATATTTATGACAAGTTGGTATGTGAAGGAAATGTTGGTGCTATTAGTACGAAAATTGTAAAAAAATACCAAAAACAAAATTCGAATCATTGAAGCATTTGTCAAAGTATTATAAGGAAGTCTTATATACATACAAAGTTAGAATTTAAAAGATGCGGCATGAACTTTTTAATCATCTTAGCAATAAATGACGATAAATTTAAATGTTTAACATTCTTCTGCAATTCATCAATAAGATATAATGGCCACTAATTAGATCGAATGGTTTTGATAGTATCAATGCGGGTTTTATAAAAAAAAAAAAAAACCGGATTTAAACCGGTTCTCTTTCTTCATTATATTATGGTATATACATATGATATCTTTAATGATCCTACGCTTCGAACTTCATCCTCATAAATGATAAAGCGAATTATCACAAGAACAAAAGCAATTAAAAATTTGAATATATTGACTTTCCTATACAGTTTAGTAAACTTTTTGTGATATTTTTTTACAAGTCTCATCAATTTATTATCAGGCAGACTGATTAAAGTTAGTCTATGTCAGTGCTATCAGTATGAGTTTTTGATTATTAAGATATTCGTTATAAAAGTGAAATCATTTAAAATTGTTAAACAAATTAAAAAAAAACTGACTAAATGTGCTATTGAAAATATTGCAAAAGTCTTCGACCACATTTAAGAATAGTATTTGATCGAATTGTAAAATTTATTTCACTATTTAAAAATCTCTCAAAAGAGTGTTAAAATTAGATAAAATTTCGCAAACCTATTATTATCATTATAAGGCATATGATAAAATTTTATAAAGTTTTAGGCGTTTGTTATGAGAGTGTAATTACGTAAGGTATCTTTAATTATTTATTAGGTCAAAATTTCAGATACATTTGTTAATCCCTTCTAATCATACTCATCTCATTTAAATCATTTTGCCATATCAAACCATGAACTTGCATTAATCATTAATCAACACCGATCATAAAGTGGAACAATGAGAAACAAACAATCAGACTTATCAATTGTTCATCACATTCCAACAGGTTACTTATTCGTTTTTAATTAAATATCATATAGAAATCATAAATATGCTTTAAGTTGTTTGTGAGCATATCTATTTAATGGATTGAACCGGATTTCTTTTTCAAGATTGTTCCACCCTATAAAATACCGGTTTTCCTGCTCGTTTTCTTATTTTCCAGCATGAAACAATGTTCCAGAAATTTTCATTTTTTCAGTATTGTTATTAACTAATGATAATGGGAAAGTAATAAATATTTGAAGCTTAAGTTTTTTTTTAATACAATTATAGTTTGAAACTTTTCAAAAATTACCTTCTAAATAGAAGGTTAAATAATTTTTTGTGATATAGAGAAGGTTTGTATAAATTAATTAAGTTGTATCTATTCATTTCGACGGGTGATAGCAATTATTGTAGAATAGCTTTCTTATGCTTACTTTGCATCTGATTAGGAATATTCTATACATTTAGCTGTTCATAAATCCTAAATATGACGATGATTTTAGTAATAATTAATTGATCTGAAATATTAGAATTTTTCAAAAATGATTCAACAAATATTATCTTTTGGCTCATATGCGAAACAATTTATGAATTAATTAATGTAGTGGAACTAATAATTAATTGATTTCGATTACAGTTTGCAGTTCACTTATATGTAATTCAAATAATTGTAATATTGATATAGATAATTTTATGCATCATCAATCAATTAATTTCAAATTGCTAGTTGCAACTTCTCATCAAATATCAAACATTTACAGTTCAGACGTTTTTGATGGTATTTAGTTGCACAACATTTAGTTATTTCAGTGATTACAAACAAAATATAATAAGAATATATAAACTGATTTTTTTTTTTTTATTTTCCTTATAAAAAAAATAAAAAAATGTGACATATCGAATGACATTCCGATGATAATTTTACAATTTGTGTTACTCAAAAATGAAATTAATACTTTTCTTAATACCATCTTGTTGTGATAATATTGTGAAGATTTGGCGCAGAAAACAACTGATACAATGAAATTAGAAGGGATAAAATAGACTGAGAGTATTATAAAAACATTTTTTTTTTTTTGAATTATGGGAAAATAAAAAAAAAAAAAAATAATTTAAAAAAATTAGAAACTCTGGCAAATTTTAAAGTTTCAAAAATTTATAATATTTGAAAATTTTTATGATTTTATTCAATAAATTTTCTAATTTTTTTTTTTTTCTGTAAGATTTTTTCCTATTTTTTATTTTTGAAATATTAACATCTGGGGAAAAAAAAATGTAATCATGATACATAATTGATATCGATAAACTGGAAAATAGCTTAGTTAATGGTCCTAGAAGAAAAACAGAAAGAAAAAGGAAAAATTTCTATTCGTTTTCAACAATATAACTTCATAAAAATGAAAAATTTACACTACCATCGAATTTTGAATAAAATAATTTCGTAGGTTTTTTTTTTAAAAATTAATATCGAGAATATCGCTTGAGACTTTGTCGACGAGCTGGAACTGCATGTGGTGGTTGAACTGTTGATAATGACTGTTGTGCTACTACTTCCTGAGCATTTTCACTTTGCACCGCTTCTGCTTCACCGATGGATGCTGCCGCTGATGCTGATGCTGATGCTGATGCAAGATCAATTGTACCGCCTAAAATTTGCTAATAGAAAAATTTGCATATTGAAAATTTATATTTATGTTATGAAGAATTGAATCTATTCAATCAGTAAATTATGATAATGATATAAAAGCTATAAATAGCATGTTTGAGTTAAAAAAAATTATATAATAATAATTTATTAGTTAACTTTCTTCCTTTTCTGTTTCTGAAATTTATAATAATAATAATAATAATAATGAAATTTCAGTAATCAACAGATTTATTACCACTTTGTTACAGCGAAGAATTCAAAAATGTTGATAGATTAACCTACTTCATTCTGTTTTATCTATTTATATATTTTTTTAACATATACTGATATTGTGATACTTTCAAAGTTTCCAAAATATTGGTACTTTGATATATTCAATATCAGAAAGTAAAAGTTTTTCATTCCTTATTATAATAATATGATGATTATTTAAAGTGAAAGATTCAAAAAATAATAAGAAAAAAAAAAAAAAAAAAAAGTGATTTACCATCAGGGAGAGTTGCTTGCTCAACACCTTCCGCAAATCGTCCTGATACCGATGGATTTTCCGGTGATAGCAAGAGTGATTGTGATGCACCACCCAGAGTGGAATCTTTGTATTGTACCTGAGAAGCAGCCAGTCCACGAGCTTCGCTGTAGGACTGTGATTGTTGTGGTGGTGCCTGAGGAGCATTAAAAAATGACGGTGGTGCCGCTTGTGGTGCATTATAAGATGATTGCGGTATTGGTGGTGCCGCTTGAGGTGCATTGTAAGATGATTGCGGTATTGGTGGTGCTGCTTGTGGTGCATTATAAGATGACTGCGGTACTGGTGGTGCT